TTTATACATGATCCGCACGCGGAGCATGTATTAAAAATGGCCCTGTGGGGAGTAGGTGGTCTAGAGAGCTTTCTCTACCAACCCCTTCCTTCCCATTCGGGGATGGGCTCGCCCCCCCGCCGCCCGAGAGCGCCTCGGGAGGGCACCGAGAAGCGCCCCGAGGGCCCCGAGAGGCGCCCCAAAGGCCTCCCAGAAGCTCCCAAGAGACTCCCGAGAGGCCCCAAGAGGCTCCCCGAGGCACCCGATCGAGCTTCAAGAGGGACCCGCCCGCTGCGCGCTGCCCACTTCACTGATCGAGGCAGCTCCTCTGGGCATCATCTCCGGATGGGCTGGTGGGTTTGCGCGAAGCGTCGAGACTTAGGAGAAACCCGGGGGGTCGCGCGCGAATCTTTACATTGCATCGACGCCATTGCCCCAAACAGGACGTCGCGCCCTTTTCGAGGGCGACCGCAGGGTGGGCGGGGCCGGCGGGGGCGATGGAACCTCTAGGCGAGGCCTCGAGAGCTCGAGCGAGCAACGCTGAGCCGCGGCGGCGCAAGTACGAGCGCGCACCAGTCCGCGCGTCCGCGACATGCATGGAGACGCGGCGGCGCCGATTTAAGCAATAAGATAAGAGGACGCCTGGACAGGCATTTTCGAATTTCACCTTGCTATCCAAACGAAGCAAGGATGCCCAACTTGGGGCCGATCCGCGCGATGGGGTGCAAGATGCATGATCGTGATGGCGGCCGCGAGGGCTGCCTCGTCGCCATGGCTGTCGCCGCCGTCATCTTCGTATCCACGATGATGCCACCCGTGGCCATTTAAGGTCAATCCTGTCTGCCAAATACCAATACTGGGTTTCAGCCAAAACCAGGAAGCGGAAAAGCATGAACGGGCTTCGCGGCCTCCCAGGTGAGGTGGGCGCGACGGTGAACCGTCGCAAAATCCGCCGACCCTGTCGGCGTGTGTGAGGGGCTTTTCCGTTCGAGCCGTCATCTCCGTCATTCTTTGTACTCGTCGTCTCTGTCCTTCCCTTTCCCTGGGAGACCTCTTCCCCTGGGCTCCAGCCAAGCCGACCTTGAGCAACCTCGTAATTGAGTCGAAGGGAAGCCCCTTCCCTTGGATCCCTCCCCCGCCGGGAGGGGTGGGGGGGTGTCGACCCGCCCCCGGGTCAGATACGACGCCCCCCCCTGGGACTCCTCTTCCCCTGGGCTCCAGCCAAGCCGACCTTGAGCAACCTCGTAATTGAGTCGAAGGGAAGCCCCTTCCCTTTGATCCCTCCCCCGCCGGGAGGGGGGGGGGGGTGTCGACCCCCCCCCCGGGTCAGATACGACGCCCCCCCCTGGGACTCCTCTTCCCCTGGGCTCCAGCCAAGCCGACCTTGAGCAACCTCGTAATTGAGTCGAAGGGAAGCCCCTTCCCTTTGATCCCTCCCCCGCCGGGAGGGGGGGGGGGGTGCGACCCCCCCCCCGGGTCAGATACGACGCCCCCCCCTGGGACTCCTCTTCCCCTGGGCTCCAGCCAAGCCGACCTTGAGCAACCTCCCCCCCTGGGACTCCTCTTCCCCTGGGCTCCAGCCAAGCCGACCTTGAGCAACCCCTGGGCTCCAGCCAAGCCGGCCTTGAGCAACCTCGTAATTGAGTCGAAGGGAAGCCCCTTCCCTTTGATCCCTCCCCCGCCGGGAGGGGGGGGGGTGTCGACCCCCCCCCCGGGTCAGATACGACGCCCCCCCTGGGACTCCTCTTCCCCTGGGCTCCAGCCAAGCCGACCTTGAGCAACCTCGTAATTGAGTCGAAGGGAAGCCCCTTCCCTTTGATCCCTCCCCCGCCGAGAGGGGGGAGGGGGGGTAGCGACCCCCCCCCCGGGTCAGATACGACGCCCCCCCTGGGACTCCTCTTCCCCTGGGCTCCAGCCAAGCCGACCTTGAGCAACCTCGTAATTGAGTCGAAGGGAAGCCCCTTCCCTTTGATCCCTCCCCCGCCGGGAGGGGGGGGGGGGTGTCGACCCCCCCCCCGGGTCAGATACGACGCCCCCCCCTGGGGCTCCTCTTCCCCTGGGCTCCAGCCAAGCCGACCTTGAGCAACCCCTGGGCTCCCTTGAGCAACCTCGTAATTGAGTCGAAGGGAAGCCCCTTCCCTTTGATCCCTCCCCCGCCGGGAGGGGGGGGGGGGTGTCGACCCCCCCCCCGGGTCAGATACGACGCCCCCCCCTGGGACTCCTCTTCCCCTGGGCTCCAGCCAAGCCGACCTTGAGCAACCTCGTAATTGAGTCGAAGGGAAGCCCCTTCCATTTGATCCCTCCCCCGCCGGGAGGGGGGGGGGGTGTCGACCCCCCCCCC